AACAAAGACAATTTGCGGTCGAAAGATGACTTGTTCCACGCGCAGAGTGTATAAATTAAGACTTTGTTTCAGCATCATAGCGCACTGTTTGCTTAGCCACGGTCGATATTATGAACCTGCTTATCATTTCCACCAGAACAAATCAGTACGGTGCAACTGAGAGTAACAGCAGAAAGCAAAAATGCACTACCTGCACTGGATGAATCAAACCCTGCTGCATCGTCAACGAAACTACTTCTGAAACAACGGAGCGTACGGCGGCGTGTTCATGGAAATAACATTCGAGCACCTCCCGGATGTAGCATTGAATGACCGAGCTGCTCAAGCTGAAAGAAAAACAATGGTATGGCTTCGATCCGAGGTACATTAAAAATAAAATCAAAAAATTAATTCACAGAAAAATGACGTAAATAATTTCGAATAATTTCAATAAGACTTTCACCAAATGCGTTTTGGGAGACAGCCGGGGTGAATATAAATAGGTGCAAATGGAGATTTCACAGAAAGTTAATATTATCGGAACACACGGCACATCAACGAACGAATATTCAATGCGACTCTATCGTTAGCGACTGGAAGTGCAAACCTGTCGGTTGGTACGAAGACCAACGTTTTGATCAAAGAACAGCGAGACTACTTAGGGCAGAAAATGGCATCATGCATAATTTAAAAAAAAATTAAGCAACTGCGTGCTTACTGTGGTTGTTTCGGCCGTAGCACCGTCATTACGTTCAGACGGTGAGGCATCACCCTCTTGATCTACATCAGCAACATCGCATCAACGGAGTGCACTACTGAAAATCGATGTCCACTTCTTGCCAGAGTATTAGCTTTCAGTGATTGCTCAACAAATGGTTTCGGTAAGTTGAGCCGGCCTCTTCAAGAATGATAGGACATGGTACGGGGGACCTTGCTGATACTCCATGCCAGTAAATGAAAGAAACTAGGAACTGTTGTTAAAAAAAACTTTACAGCTGACCGATCGCTTGTAGAAAAATATTAGGCTTTGAAATACACATATCTGTGGCGACGGCAAGAGATAGGGCGTTAATACTGTTGTACGCCCTTTGCCTCTAAAACTGGAACAACAATTTGGCTTAGAACGACAAGAAATCAAAGAAAGTTTGTAAATACAGGGATCTACGTCTAAATTAACACTTCAACGATGAATGCCAGTTACTGATGTAGCTCGCGTTGGGTGTCAAGGTCTGTTTTGATAACACCAGCGGAGTGTCATACGCTTTTAAAGAAATTATAAAGGTTATGTACAGTAAAACATGCCGTTTTCCTTTTCTTTTCATTAATGCCGTTTCGCGCCTCCAAAAGATAACAGGCAAACGACCCGATAGATTCATTTACACTCAAAATCTAATGACTGTCAGTTCTAGCTCTTAACCGGAAAAGTTACCTTGATTTACCTGGGATTACTTCTTGTTACTGAAGAAGAAGATAATTTATGTAGCGGTTTCTAAATCTTGGAATCGATCAAAATCAAGTAAAATTAAAAATAAGGACAGCCAAATAGAAACAAATTTAAACGGATACATTACTGAGATTACCATTAAAAAATACATGAATGACTGACATCGATCGCGTCATTTTATCAAAGCTAGTAGCCAGCTTCCGCAGAAATCTGCCTCGCTGTTTCTTTCCAGCTGATTAAATATAACAAACATCATAAATGAACTCAAAAATAATTTGTGTGCTATCATTTTGTTTGGCCGTTCATACTTTTATGTTACATGTTCGTTTATTAATTGATGCCAGGATTTAGAAGAACCGGTAGACAAATTATCCTGTTCTTCAATAAGAAGTGATTCCAGGTCGCTAAACTCTGTCGGTGAAGTGCTAGACTCACACTCATAATTTATCTTGAATATGAATGAAACTACGAAGTGGCACGTCTTTAAACTCTTCCAGGCGTGAAACAGTACGTGGGAATGTAATGATCATCTAGGGGTAAACACTGCTTTCAGAGAACAGGTTACTTAAAAATGATGCCATGTTTCACAATCCAAGTCAACGCTGATTTTTTCATTCAGTGGACGAACGCAGAACAAATGAAAATTTGTAAAAATTTTTTACACTGAACTTGAACTGAGGTCACCTGGAATAGAGATTACGCTAAGTTCGTGGGTTTTCACTGCTATTCAATTATAAATAAAAGTACACAATGCCTCCAGAAAGGAAGGCTAAGCAACTGTTCCTTGCAAATCCGACCGGCACAAAGCCCAGGGGACGGCCAAGATTAACCTGATGCAAACATATGGAAGGAATCTGTTCTAGACTGCATTTGTCTTTTGCCGAAGCTCAGACTCTGGCACAGG